CTACGACCACGACATCCCCTCGCTCACCGCCTCGCTGGAGGCCTTCGACCCGGAGCGCAGCCACCTCTCGCAGTCGGGCTACAGCGCGCGCAGCAACATGCACTCCAGCCGCTGGAGCATCCCCCCGCAGGAAGCAGACGAGTCGGAGCAGGAGAGTGAAGGGCCGTGGGCGCCGCCCGCCTGGCAGAAGAGCAACAACCAGTGGCATAGGCGGTCGCTCCTCCACTCCAGCCGATCGCCCTCGTACTACCGCACCGACCGCGAGACCACACCGTCGCGCATACCCCTCCCCGAGTCGCCCATGAAGAACACGCCCCAGGGCAGCCCCGAGCCCGAAGAGCAAAAGCAGCGCTATGCGACCGAGAACATCGCCTCGCGCATGCAGAGCCCCATGGAGGACGTCAAGGAGGAGCCCGCCGACGAGATGGCGCTGTCGCACCACGACGGCGACGCGAGTACCATGGATGGCTGTACGTAGCCGCCCGTTGAGGGTGTTCCAGTACTAACGCTGGCAGTCGTCCGCTTTGCCATCAGGGGAGAGACGCTGTTCCGCACTGCGCCGATTGAGGAGACCATCAGCACCTTCGCGAACGGCATGGGCATGTTCACGCGGACGCGGCGCAACGTCGTCATGACTATCGCGACGGTGATACTGAGCTGGGTGCTGCTGCATCCGTGGAACACAACGCTGATTCCTGACGTCGCCAACGTCGCCAACATGGCGAAGCAGTTCGAGCCCCTCATGTACGCGAGTGAGAACGTCATTCCTCGCTCAAGAGAGCTGGCCGAGGCCAGCATTGCCGTGCAGGATTTGGGCGAAAGCGTGCGCGCCACCAACATGTCTGCGTCGACCGTCATCATCGACCAGCTCGACGATCTGGGAGACAGCCTGAAAGTGCTGTCCGAGAAGATGACGTCCTTCTTCACCAACGTCGACGGCGATATGGATAGGTGCGTTACCCTGCTGTGCTCCCGCGCGCACATGCTAACGACTGCAGCATCCTAATCACAATGGAATGGGCCCGTCGCGAACTCTCCTCGATCCAATCCCCCCGCAGCTCCATGCTCGACACCCTCGTCTCTAACGTGCACGGCGCGCTATCTCTCACCGGTGCACTCGAGTCAAACGGCAAGCCCACATCACTAGGCCGCGTCGTGAATGACGTCCTCGGCCACACGACGCAGGAACGCTCCCGCGCAACCCTGCAGCGCACCTTCGACTACCTCCTCACGACGCTCGAAGAGAACATCGCGAACGAGCTGTTACGCGCAGACGTACTCTTTAACCTCTTCGAGAGCGTGGACCGGCAGTTCCACAACCTGCACCGCAGCGTCGCGCGCGAGGAGGATTCGCTAGCAAACAAGAAAGACGAGTTTCTGGCGAGTATGTGGCGCAACACGATAACGAACAAACTTAAAATCGCCAAATACGAAAAGAATCTCAAACTCCTCCAGTCTGTCCGCGCCAGCACCCTCACCAACAAGAGCGAGCTCAAATCCCACATCCAAGTCATCAACAGCGTGAAGGACCAGCTCGACAAGGCACGGCGAAATCTCGTCGGCCCCCTGATCAAGCGCGCGCAGAGCAGCAGCTTCGGCCTCGAGGGCCAGCTCGAGGAGGTCGAGAAGACATACGGCTTCCTCAAGGGCGTGCGGGATACGCAGAAACACCGCGTGCTGCGCGAGCTCTGGGGCACGGAGCCGCGGCGAGTAAGGATCACGGGGGGTGAGAGGGAGGACGATGCGCCCGAGGAGCTCGACAGCGTCTAGTCATGCTGCTCTTGATTTCTTTACGCTCTGTTCCTCTCCTTGAGTACCATGTGGCCCTCCCTCTGCATAGCGCGGCATAGCGTCCGGATAGACAAAGGTGGTGATGTGTTGTTGTTCTTCTCACTTCTTATTCGTGTTTGAGGCGTTTGGCATTGGCGTTGAGGTTTTGAGTATTTATTAGCGATTGGGAACATCCGAATTGGGTATACAGGGAGGACTGGATGGACGGAGTTTTTGGTGTATCTATTCTATTCTATTCTTCTCCATGCAATGTAGCGTAGCGTAGCGTTCTCGATACCACACAACCATACCCAATATCCAGCTTACGATTCAATGCATCTGACGTTATGTCCCTTGCAGAAAAAGCCGAACGCAATCCGAAAGCTTGGAAACTCGGGAGGCATTCAGAGGTAATCGAAGAGCGTCTCACATGCGGACACACCTCCTGCAGGCTACAGAAATCTGCTTGTCATGGAAGTGTCGTCGATACCAGCTCCAACCGCGCTGATCACATTCACCCCAGCATCTCAGACGCCAATGGCTGCGTACGGACTTGATTAGCAGGCCTCCCGACCTGGACAAGCCGCGTCCTTGATCCTTTACGCGTACCAGCAGGCACACCTCACAAACCGCACGGCGCGCAGCCTGGTTATGGACTCTGAGCAGACAATGCAACAAACTCTGCTCTAAGTTACACAGGAAGTTGGATTCAAGAATGGGGTTTTTGTAGCTAGCAGAAGATTTATCCGCACGCAAATGACTCGCGGATTGGCATCGAGTACCTCCTGTTTTCCTGACTGTTTGAGGGCTGCCAGGCTAGGTATTTAGGATCCTGATCATCCGAGAATGGACGGTCTCTGTTGTGCGTGTACATTCGCGTTCGACCAGCCGACTGCAATCGAAGTCATTGTCGCCTTTGAGGACTCGGAGATCAGAATGTGTCTAGAGCGCTGCCCACTTTGACCATGATGCCGAGGACACTCCTGACCTAATGGAAAAAAGGAGATCATCAGATTCACAAATCGGTTTTGCGTCGTAATGCACTACGGCACATCGAGGAGGAAAGCTGAGGAAGGCGTAGAGTATCAAGAAAGAAAGCAGACCCGGTTGTCGAAGTACTTCAACGGTGATGAGATGAACAGCGACACGATAATCTTCTCAACGTAGTCTACGTGGGCGAGTCGACATGGCCCCAGGGCACAGACGAACTGGCTGATCGACGAATACAGGAAGAAGAACGGCGTCAACCAGCAGGCGGTAAAGAAACATGTCGAGCTCTCACGAAAAGCCGGTGTAGCGGCAACTGCGACATCCAGCTGCAAGACTGTTTCGAACGCGTGATACTCGGTCATAGACTCGAAATCCGTCACATGCCGCTACGGGTCGGTACCGTTGTACGTTAGGTTGGAGGCAGATACCGCAGCGTGGTCAGCGGCATGCTGACCCTGAGCAACCTCTTTTATCTCTGCGGAACCATGCGGTTCCTACAGCCACCGGAACTTGAGAACGACGAGACTCTACGCGGCTTAGGATCCAATCAGGCTCTAGGTACTGGCGCCTTGAAGAGTGTTCTCAAGCAGTTCGACCCATGAGATGTGCCTGATGACGATCCTCGGGCAATCCTGAGATTCACGGTCGCAGCCCTAGAGCAGTGGGTATTCAACAGGAACACCACGAATGCGCAGCGCGGTCTCCGAATGAGAAAGGTTTTCGCAAAGTGCATGGTCCGTCGTTCCCTGTCGTCCACCATTGATGGCAAGCGCATCGGCGACAGCCTGCCGGAAGTCCAGAGGGTTAACATCGAATGCGACTTTACAGATCTGGAGCGCGCTCACTACGAGTACCTGTACGCCGATACTTCCTCAATGCTCTTCGGAAAGAACAGCGACGGCGATGCGCTAGAGCGGAATACCACAACGTACAGGAAGCTCTGCCTCATCAGCTCCTGGCTGGGTATGGCCTACTTACTCGAGTACAAGGCGATGGAACTCAAGAAGATCAGGAGAACAAGGGCATTGCTCGCACGTTCCTCAGCGTATCCGCGTCGGTCAAAAGCGAGGTGCAATTCCGGACAACCCGCAGCCGCACCTACTTGCACAGAACGATGCCATCTGAATCGTTGAATAGCATGTTGCGCTGAGTAAAGGGGTCCAAACATCCTTGTGGTTATGGGCTCCCGTGGCGGGCTACGGACGGGCGAAAACAAAGAATATTGTAGCCTCCAAAGCTATTATCTAGTTGTAGAAGATAAGCAGATAGAATCTAACTACCTCCGATAGTTTCAAGGGTCCTGCTCTTACAGCCTCCTTCTAGTGCAACACAAAAGATAAGGAAAAGGGGAAAACGAGTAACGTAGTAGACGAACTGCGTCTTGGGGTTAGTCATATTCCTTGGGATGTGATATTTCGTCGTGGGAATTAGTGCAATCACTTGCTTGTTGCCACGTCTACTTTTCCACAGCTGTATCGATACTTTTTTTCTTCCTTCCAAATTAGGCAGGTAAAGTGAGCTGGCCAGAGAAAGGTTCCGCGATGGTTGCGAAGATGCTCGTGAACAGGAGTGTTATGCGGACTACATGGGGTGCGGAACAGAACGTTGTTAGCTTACCGAAGTTGCCCAGTTGTCGGTAAGGCTATGTAACAACAGAGCATTGTAGCCTCTAGAACTATTGTGAGGTTGCAAGACACTCTCGAATAGTCACTAGCTACCCTCTAAATTTGTATTGTTATACAGCTTGCAGCTGTTTTCCTAGAACAGAACTCGTAAACAAGGTAACAAACCTTGGACCTGAACTATGCTTAAACTTTGCCGAAGTACGCGACCCTGCACTGCGCGCAGATCGAAGCGATGGCTACAAAACTAGTATCACAAACATTTCCTATCGTCAACCTACTTCACATCTTCTCTTTTGCACGGTTGGTCTCATAGTGTATTTTATGATTCGAACGAAGCAAGTGGCAAGCTTCGAAATGCTGCTTTTGTTGATGCACGATTACACTTTCAATCAGACGTCGAATGTCTATCGGACGCATCGGCCTGTAATGCACTTATCTACGAAATACGCGGAGTCGCCAGACTCGGCGTTCAGTGATGATCCACTCATCTCGGCAAAACCCGTCCCGCCCACAAAACTCATCACGGACAAGAGCTTCGGTCGTGGTTTAGCCGGCTGCGCTCGAATTTCACATCTAGTATATATAACAAACTAAAACTCTTTCTTCCATCGAACAGTCAGTTTGGCCGAGTGGTTATGGCGTGTGACTCAAGCGTAAGCTTCCGTTCATCTGAATGGTTTCTCAGATCAATTTCGATCAGAGGTTTCTCATCACGAAAGTGGCAAGGGTTCGAATCCCTTAGCTGACAACATCTTTTTTTGCGCTCCTGATGCTTTGCTAATGTGTTGGCCACGTCCAGGCTGCGTTGACATGGGACGATTTTTGTGTCCGTGCGCCCTGCCGGCACTTGAGCGGACGGCACTTGTAAGTAAACATGAATAACGCGACGCACGACTGAACGCGTATTCCTTTTGCATTAGCAACTCACCCTCCTTTGCGACTGATGACTGTAGTGCGCGATTCGTGAAAGCAGAGCCTTGCTGCGACACATGCTTGACCTCGACTGCATGTCGAGAACGCATCCATATGCGTGCAACATTGCGTATGCCTGTGACTTGATTCTCATCGAAAGCTCAATACCTTCTGCAGAAGATTCACTCAGCATGCTGCCATGATTGAACGAGCGGAGACTATCCATACAACGTGTTCCAAGCCCGTTGCGTGGCGAACAACGCGACTACACAAGCATACAAGCAAAGGCATCGCAACACGCAGTATCGCGCATCGGGGATCAAAGCCAAACGTAGGTCTCTACGCTGTTCTCCCACATATAATCCAGCGCGACAGCTGCTCTATCAATGTCGTTGCACTCCAGTTGGTTCTCATCTCACTCACTATGGACAGAACGATGTCCTTAACAAAACAGCAGCAAGTTAAAGCAGCCGCATCTGCAAGCTGCAGCGCAAATGCGACTGCGTTTTTATGATCTTGATCCTGACAACAAGATGGTCGCTGCTTGTTCAGTCCCTGCAGGAGCGCCCACGGCCGTGATGACTTCGCCTGCTGATCTGACGGATCCAAACAAACACCCTCCACTCAGCAGCACGCCCACATCGCCCCCGAATACAGCGAGCGACTGCACTTTACTCGGTCAGCTGCGAGTTTACTGTCATCGTACGTGCATGTCAAAGTGATTGCTGCGGCGAGTGACCGTAAGTGGCAGAATGATGAGTGCATCAATGTACATGGCGCTGACTCGATTACAGGTTTGGAGATGAGCAACATCGACCCTGGTCCACATGACACTAAAAGAGAGATTCAAGTTACCTGTGCCGATATCGACATGCTGCTCTTGATATACTCGCCGCTCAGCCACAACAAATGGCAAGCAATTACTGCACGCTATGTCAGACACGAGCTAGGTACCAACGACGCAGACTATTGAACTGTTTCATACATGACCACTATAACCTGCTCACAACTCCGATATCGTTGGGATCATAAAGACGACTCAAGGGTGCAACCTCTAAGATTTCTGCTGTGTGTTTCTACGGCAGAAACGAATGAGTGAAAGGTAACGAGCAAACAATTCGAATCTATGAGTACGACGTTGGGTCAAACAACGGCGAGAGAGTGTCTATTTTCTTCTGCTACGGAGCAGACGTAGTTTCCAGGACTTCCCATATAAAGCGACGAAGAAGAGAGGTAGGCCCTAGGCGAAGAATTGGACAGGGAGCAATGACAGAGGAAGATGCAGGAGCGAAAGATCCAGAAACATGGAAAATATCTCTTGTCAGCTCCTGGAATTTTGAGAGAGCTCTGCTATAGCACAAATCTGGTTGCAATCCCCACATCTTCTTGTTGTAGACAGGGCGTGGTCAAAGTTCGACTACTTACCACATATACATAAGTTGTGGCGGGCTTTCTTTGCATTCCGACAGTCAGTAACAGCTTACAATCGTGGTCTCACTTCGAAACCCCCCGGATAGTTGCGCAATTAAGGAGTAAGGTGGTGCCTCTATGTCGGCAGTCATTGACCCGGTAGCGGCTCCCGTGAAGTCAGTGATCGACGACCCCGCAAACAACGGTTCGAGTTGGCGATCATCACCGGGTGCTTGAGCCACAATATATACTGTTGCTTGCTATCAAAAGAGTGCTGCGTAGCCATGCCAATATTTTGCGGTTGCAGCTCGATGCTGCTGACGCTCCTGCTCACTCTGTCGACAGTAGAAGGCGCTATCAACCGCAAATCCATCGTCCAACGATACAATCTGCAGCTCAACCAATCGCATCCATACAGCCCGGTACAAGTGGGAAACGGCAACTTTGCATTCGGCGCAGACATCACAGGCCTCCAAACCTTCCTCCCACACAACACGCTCTCATCGTGGGGCTGGCACAATTCCTCTTTGCCCACAACCACCAATCAAACGCAGCCTGAAGATTACACTGGTGTCGACTGGTGGACGCATGGCCGTCTGGTCAACTATGAGCAGCCAAATCCGACGCAAAAAGACATCAATCAGTGGATGATCGCGAATCCGCACAGAATCAATCTGGGAAAAGTTGGACTGTGGTTCGGGGAGAGCACTGTTACAGAGCAGTCACTGAACGACAAGTCGCAATCCTTGGATCTATGGTCAGGTGTCATCACCTCTTCATTCACGCTGAATGACTCAGAAGTCGAAGTCACGACTGTGGGTAGCCCGGACACGGACGCGGTCGCTGTCAACGTAGCCTCAAGTTTACTTGCAAGAGGCAACCTGGGTGTGATCTTCGACTTCCCCTACGCGAGTGGGAAGAACAAGTTCGATGCACCTTTCGTAGGACTATTCAACGCTACCTCGAATCACAGCACTAGTCTCGATACCTCAGATAGTCATGCAGTGATTACGCATACGTTAGATGCAACCATCTATACTGCAAGAATTGCTTGGGAGGGCGATGCAAAGCTGTCCCGACTCAGCAAGCAAGAGCACAGGTATGTTCTGCAGCCGTCTGGCATGACTGAAGCCCTATCTTTTACTGTGACATATGCATCGGACCCCAGGAAAGTAACGTGCGGCTCCTACGACGATGTTCTGGAAAGCTCGAGACTGTGGTGGGCTGACTACTGGGCGACTGGAGCCTTCATCTCGCTTCCTGCAGCGTCCAACTCTTCTGCCAACGAGCTGCAGCGCCGTATCATCCTCTCTCAGTACTTGCTCGCCGTCAACGGCGCTGGTAGGGATCCCGCTCAAGAGTCCGGGCTTGTGAACAATGGCTGGTATGGCAAGTTCCACCTCGAGATGGTGTTCTGGCACCTTGGCCATTGGATGTTCTGGTCAAAGTGGGATATGTATGATCGCAGCATTGGGGTCTACAATCGCTTTCTCTTCACCAGCTTCGATCGCGCCGCAAAGCAAGGCTACGAAGGTGCGAGGCTAGGCAAGATGAGCGACCCTAGCGGCCGCTCTGCACCTGGCGAGATCAACAGCCTTTTGATTTGGCAGCAGCCGCACCCCATGTACTTTGCAGAGATGGAGTACCGATCCTTCCCAACCGCTGCCACGCTGCAGAAGTGGGATCACATTCTCAGCCCGATAGCAGACTTCATGGCCAGCTACGCATTCTACAACGCCAGCACAGGATTCTACGATCTTGGACCCCCAATGTACCCTGTCTCCGAAAACACATCGCCAAACGTAACCATCAACCCAACCTTTGAGCTGGCATACTGGCGCTTCGGTCTCGCTGTCGCATCGGCCTGGCAGACTCGCCAAAATAAAACCGTGCCGGCCAAATGGACACACGTGCATGACAACCTCGCCCCCTTCCCAATTGAGAATGACACTTATGTGACTTACGAAGGTATCAAGGACATGTGGACTACGTCGGAATATACCGAAGACCATCCCGGTCTTCTCGGCATCTATGGCTGGCTACCTCCAGATTTCCGCTTTAACGAGACAGTGTTCAACAACACCTTAGCTAAGGTGCATGAAACCTGGAACTTCCCCTTCTCTTATGGCTGGGATTTTCCGTTGCTGGCGATTACCGAAGCGAGGAGGGATGATGCGGAGAGAGCGGTCGCACAGCTGCTGGACGTGAATAACGCTTTCAACGAACTGGGAATGCCCGAGGGTGGTACACGAGTACCTACACCATACTTCCCGAGCGCGGCAGGTTTGTTGCTTGCAGTGGGAATGATGGCTGGTGGATGGGATGGGAAAGAAGGGGGTGTGTGGCCGAAGGGGTGGGAGGTCGAGGCCGAAGGGTTCGTTAGGGCAATGTAGGTGTAGAGGTTGACTTCGGATACGACCCAAGTGATCTCAAGCCTTGTGAATTGAAGATGTAACTTGGTGAGCTATGTATTTAGTATGGCGCTAGCGCATCTTTACCCTCTTGTACAGCAAAGTCGTCCGTCGAATGAAGGGCGCTTATCAATCCATTACGCTCGGCAGGCGCAACGGTAGAATGTGCGCAATGATTCTCTAGATTCTGGCGGTCATACGCTCTGCAAAACTGTCAAGAGCGCTGCGAGAGGTTCTGAGGCCATCAAGCTGAAGCCAACCGGCAGAACGGCAAATTCCATCGATCGGTCCGTGAACAGTCATAGATTTGATGTTCGGTCCTGGGTCGGATTCGCGACGCTCCCGTAGCTCCTTCCCGCATGGTGGCGTTCCGGGGTACGCGTGCACAGAGTGCAGCTGGCTGTAAGAGGCAGTAACCCTGGCAGCCTGGAGGTTACTAGGCTTAGTGAATATCCAATGTAGTGGTCAGTACGCATGTAGTTGATACGTCCGAAAGTCGCTGCGACAGACGAAGATGCCATATGGTGGGCAGTTGCAGCTGCCAGATGTGAGGGGAAGAGAGGAGGCGACGACCACGAGGCTGGACCCGCCTTTCCTCGGTACCGTGTCCGTGCGCGTGATGCACGGATTCGCGTGATGCACGCTTACCCACCTAAACAGCTGTAGAAAAATGAAGCTGTAGAGCCACGTACAATAGCTATTATCACGAAATAATTTAGTGGAGTGCTCTATAGGCCTTTGCGATGATAATCTCTTATACAAATTAATTATATAGAGTTGCTGTTCTGCTGCTGCGGGTGGTGTGAGTGCGAGGTGCAGCAGGAGGCTCTGCAGCAACAACACCACGCCGCGCAGCCACTGCACCACAATTCTGCTTCTTTCTTGGTGCTGCAGACTGTGAGGCCTTGCGCTTGCCTCTTTGGGGCAATTGTACAGCTTTTTCAGCGTTGTGAGCTTGTTTATCACGCTCTCTTTGAGCCTTGCGTTCGGCTGCTTCCTTAGCCTTCTCAGCTCT